ATGCTCCTAACCATATCCATCAGAGTACGATTTCGCCTTTCGGCAACATCAATTTGCTGTGACACACCTGGTAATGCATATTGAGTACAAATACCCCGTTGTTCTAGGAATCTAGCAAAAGGACCAATATTCTGACCAGATCCATCATATCTGCCATAAAATTCACCACCTCTATCAGATCTGACAATTTGAACTTTTCTATATAATTGTCTCTCAACCTCATTTATGTATACTTCAAGAGTATCAATGGCTTAAGACTTTTCATGTATTAGATAAACATAGTCATATCTGGACAGATCATCTATAAATGTGATGAAATATTTTTCTCCACTAAAACAAGGAATATGGAGTGGTCCGCAGATATTAGTATGAATAATCTTAAGGAGTTCTTTACTTCTTGTGGCATTTTTCTTTATATGTTTAAGCATTTTTCTTTCGTAATAAGAAAAGAAAGTTGAAGCATTATCAATCAAAGAAACTTGCCGGGTTTGGAAATATTAAACGGACTAACGAAAAGAAAGCATTTATTGTAAAGTGTTTCTTTTGTGGCAATAAAGGACACGTGAAGAAGGATTAAATTAAACGCAAGACTTGGTTCGAAAAGAAAGGTATTAACTTGACCTTTGTGTGTTTCGAATCAAACATTACAGAAGTTCCTTCTAACACTTGGTGGATTGATTTTGGTGCTTTAACTCATGTTACAAATAACATACAAGGATTTCTTTCAATTCGGAAACCAAAAGAATATGAAAGATTCATCATTATGAGAAATCATCTTAAAGCGAAAGTGATATCAATGGGAACTTATCGTCTACGCTTAGAGACGGGTCACTTGATGGATCTTGTTGACACATGTTATGCCCTACAATTTCTAAAAATTTAGTTTCTCTTTCTAGAATTGATGAGTTAGGATATTATCTTTCTTTTGGTAGTGGCAAACTCAATATGTTTTATGATTCAATAAAAGTTGGTTCTAGAATTCTCTGTGATGGTTTGTATAGAATTAATTTGGATCTTGAGTTTGCAAAGACATTAATAACCTCGCAATCAAGTGTTGGATTGAAACGTAATTTCAATAATGAAATATCTTCTATATTGTGGCATAGACGATTAGGGCATATCTCTAAGGAAAGAATTGAAGGATTAGTGAAGGATAATATTTTAGAACATTTAGACTTCACTTATTTTGATGTTTGTATAGATTGCATTAAGGGAAAGCAAACTAAACATATAAAGAAAAATGCCACAAGAAGTAAAGAACTCATTGAGATTATTCATACTAATATCTGTGGACCACTCCATATTCCTTGTTTTAGTGGAGAAAAATATTTCATCATATTTATTAATGATCTGTCCAGATATGGCTATGTTTATCTAATACATGAAAAGTCTCAAGTCGTTGATACTCTTGAAGTATACATAAATGAGGTTGAGAGATAATTAGATAGAAAAGTTAAAATTATCAGATCGGACAAAGATGGTGAATTTTATGGTAAATATGATGGATCTGGTCAGAATATTGGCCCTTTTGCTAGATTCCTAGAACAACGGGGTATTTGTGCTCAATATGCATTACCAAGTGTGCCACAACAGAACGGTATTGCTGAAAGGTGAAATCGTACTCTGATGGATATGGTTAGGAGCATGATGAGTTATTCCTCTGTACCTGAGTCGATGTGGGGTGAAGCTCTTAGGACAGCTATGTACATCTTGAACAAGGTTCCTAGTAAGTCAGTTTCATCGACTCCATTTGAGTTATGGACTAGTAGGAAGCCCAGTCTAAGACATTTACATATTTGGGGGTGTCCTGCAAAGATAAGAGTATTCAATCCACATAAAAAGAAATTGGATCTAAGAACTATTTCAGGATATTTTATTGGTTATCCAGAAAAATCCAAGGGATACATATTTTATTGCCCTAATCATAATATGAGAATAGTAGAATCTGGTAATGCAAAATTCCTAGAAAATGGCGAAATCAGTGGGAGTGAAAAATCTCGAATGATTAATTTTGATATTGAGGAGATTCAGGTTAATTCTCTCATATCATCTCCTATTCGAGAGATTGTTGTTCCTCAAATCAATGAGAGCATTGATGAGGGTGAACAACAAAATAACATCGAAGAACTCTCACTTGATGTTGATGTCGTCGTTGATGATCTTGTAAAACAATCACAATTGGCAGATTTGAGAAGATCTCAAACAAAAAGAAAACATGTCATTTCTGATGATTATATGGTATATCTACAAGAATCATATTATGATATAAGAATAAAAAGAGACCCCTTTACATATTTGGGAGTGTCCTGTAGAGATAAGAGTATTCAATTCCAATAAGGGGTCTCTTATTAGGATATATCTCAAGGATTATTAGGATTATCTCAGAAAGGATATATTGATCATATCTTAGAAAGATTTAATATGCAGCTTTGCTCAGCCAATGATGTACCTATTACTAGAGGTGAAAAATTCTGTCAAAACCAGTGACCAAGAAATGACTTAGAAAAGAATCAAATGAAGAATATTCTTTATGGGTGCGCAGTTGAAAGTCTATTATATGCTCAAACCTGTACAATACCAGATATCAGTTTTGTAGTTGCAATGTTGGGAAGATACCAAAGCAACCCAGGAATAAAACATTGGAAAGCTGCAAAGAAAGTAATGAGATATCTGCAAGGGACGAAAGATTATATGCTCACATACAAGAGATCGGATCAGCTTGAAGTGATAGGATATTCAGATGCTGATTTTACAAATTGCCTCGACAGTAGGAAGTCCACTTCAGGATTTGTATTTATATTAGTTGGTGGGGCAATTTCTTGGAAAAGTGCAAAGCAATCGCTTATTGCATCATCAATAATGGAAGCTGAATTTGTGGCATGCTTTGAAGCCACAAATCAAGCTTTATGGCTGCAAAATTTCATCTCGGGACTTGGTGTGGTTGACTCAATTACCAGGTCGCTGAAGATATTTTGTGATACTACTGCAGTAGTTTTCTTCTCTAAGAATGGCAAGTACTCTAGTGGTTCCAAGTACATTGAGATAAAGTACTTGGTAGTTAGAGAAAGAGTCCAGAAATAGCAAGTGTCAATTGAGAACTTGAGCACCACTATGATGATTGCTGATTCATTGACAAAAGCCTTACAGTGTAAAATATTCAAAGAACATGTTCTTAGAATGGGGCTTATGAGCAAGTCATAAAGGATATGGTGATGCATGTTTATGCGGATGATATTATTGACATTCTTCTTGCTTAATTAAAGTTATCTATTTCTGCTATCCTGTTTACATTTATGTTTATGCATATTACGATTGAATGTAATAACATGATTGTCTTGACAAGACAAATTACAGGGGTCATTATGGAATATATTAGGAAAGACTAACAATATTGTGGTACATAGAAGGGATTATGACATTGATGAAATACAACCGCTATGACTCGTATTGATAGTTTGACTTAATATAGTATTATTGTGTTTATTGGACTTATTGGCTTATTTTAAAACATGGCCATGTATAAAATGCTTTTCAAAAATTACTTGGAATCCAATTAGGTAAAATTATTTTTAAACAAATTTTATTTTGTTTATTTTGATTTTGAATATCACTTTAATATCTTATCAATTAATAGTCAAGTGGGAGAATGTTAGATTATATGACGATAACCTTGATGAGAGGAAATCTCTTGAGATACCTCTAGGGGCTGGGAGAGCGTTGGCATTACGTACAGATGCACCTCTCCATTAGGGATTTCAGTTTCTCTCCCCAAAATCCATCGCATATAAATTATTTATGTATTTCAGATATAACATAATTATAGATTTTATGCTTATAGTTGTTGCTCCACCGTAGCAGGTGAGTGCTCTAGTGTGTAGTACAGGGTGGACTCATAGAGTGTACATTAATACTAACACCAGATAATGAACATCCTCCAATACAAATGAATAAATTACAGGTAATTATATGTTTGTTCCTTGCTATTATCATGTGATTCTTATTTGTTTCTTTTACTGTAGGTTTTCGATAGCTTTTGGTCATTTTAGACAGTTTGGGTGATTTTGAATAACTTTTGATCATTTTGCATAGTCTTTGGGTATTTTTGGAGGGCTATAAATTAATTTGACAGTTCGGTCATTTCGAAAGACTGCAAATTAAATTGGTTGTGTTGTGGAAAAACTCTAAATATTTTGTTCATATTCATATTCCAAGTCTCTTCGACGAATGCATATTTGTGCGACTCGAAAGCAGTCTCTTCGATGAATGCATATTTGGTGCAGATCAAATGTTCAGATTGAATGTACCAATGTCTATATTCCAGATTTATTGAGATGAATGCTTTGCTTTCGTATTTATTCAGTTTCATATTCTAGATCAAATGTTCAGATTGAATGCAACAGTGTCATATTCCAGATTTGTTCAGATGAATGCTTTGTATTCCAGATCAAATATTAACATTTGCATGCTTTTTCATCATACGAATATGTACATTTGTTCATGCTTTCATATTCCAGACATGTTCATTTGTTCAGATCAAACTATAGCTACATTTGTTCAGTTTTCAGCAACAACAATCATTCAGTGTATACATCCAATTCAAGAATTCAATAATTCTTTCTTGGACCATAAGAATTTTTACCCTTTCTTAGATTCACAAAAAGAAAGGATCTCCACGTACCTCCGAATCCAAATAGCAATCGAGAAGAGGAGGCAGATCACAAAAAGAGATATTCTTCCTATCAAGTGAAAAATGTGAAAGATTACGTATCAATTGAAAGCACAAACTTACATAAACTTACATGTACTGGTCTCTCTCTCTCTCTCTCTCTAGATTTTTTTTCTTCTTTTTCCTTACAAATGACTGTTATAACGCTAAATAATTAATATCTTTAAACAGTAAGATTAGCAACTATGAAATTACCTTGTTATCCCCTTTTTAAGGTCATTTTCTTCGCGTGACCCTAACTGGAAGAGAAAAAATAACCGAGGATACCAGCAAATAGAGCCTCCACGGAGCAGTCGTTTGTTGATAGCTGAAGACAATACATGCATTCCGATAAACAAGGCATAGCTGATCAAAGCAGCATGAAAAATCCCAAGAAGAATAGTGCTAAACAAGGGATAAGTGCAAACACACTCATCCCCAATCAAAACACCAGCCTTTACAAAGTAGTTTGCCTTATTTGCTCTCCCATCACCCTTCTCCTTGTCGAATAACTTGGGTCCAACAAAAACCACAATAAATTGCATGATGGAAATAGGAAGGCAGAAAAGGAACACATGACCAATGGCCTTTTTGTTCCATCTTTGGTTTAGAGCACCCAACTATCTCTTCAGCAAAGTGGCACGTAAAAGGAACACAAGAATTAAGAAAATGGAAGGTTCTGAAAACCCAAGGTTGAAGAGGATGTAGAGCTTGCACATATTCCTCTGCCATGTTATGCTGGAGAAAAGACTTCCTTTCAGAAAACTTAATCTAGCAATTTCACTTAATCTCCATAAAATTGCAACTAGAACAAGAAATATGCATGTAACCCAGGGCCCATTAAAGTAACCAAGCTGCAGAAAATTTTGTTGCAGTATCTGCACTCGTAAATAGGCAACTTGGTATATGCATCGTATAGCAAGGACATCAAACAGAACAACAAGAGAAATGACCGTCACACCAAATGCATCGGCTCTGAATTTGGCCAGGGGCATCACACGAGACACAGATTCCACGCATGCTCTCACCCAGCATCAGTACTTGAGAACCTACAAATACGAGAACAGTTGATACCTCCAAGAAGGTCTAGTTCTGCTGATCCAATGCACACTCAATGTCACAACCAATCCGAGGTCCATGATAAGGAAGCCTAATCTTTTGTAAAAAATTTCATAAATTGTGTCTGAGTTTAAGGATAGAATATTGTGCACTGCACAAGAAGAGTCCCACCAACAACTACGACTTGAACATACAAGCTACTTAGAGGAGTCCAGTTGGCTAACCCATAACATACACCTTCAGTCATGTCACCCAAAGAATGCTTAAGCTACTAGGTAAGCACAAAAATCCAAGAAACTTTAACATGATCACATTAAGGACATAAATGGAAAAAAAGAATCCATCCTGCTGAGTCCAATCCTATCATTCACAATTAAATCATGACACATACCAGCAAGAACTTTAAAAGCTTCAAAAGCTGGCCAGATGTTATCTAGCTTTAGGTGCATAATCACATGAATTTTTAAGTAACTAGACAACAATCCAGGGTGCTTTACCTCACTGTGACATGAGAAAAAAAAACAGAATATTGGTGTCAAGTCACTTTAAATAAGCAACATAAAACCACCATTTCTCTAACCAAGCAATAGAATCTTGTATAGGTTTAGCATGATAGCTAACAGAACAATGCAAGTAAAAATGTCCCAAGACAGTGAGATCAACCCAAAAATCAGGTGAAATATCATCACAGCTAATTCGTTTGATGATAACAAAAATGAAGCTACAGCCTGAGAACAACCATACATCTAAACTTCTTCCATGACAAGCAAGTAACATTATTATCTTTATTAAGAAAAGAACTTTCAATTACTTTCCATTTATGCTCTCCTCAGCATTTATAATATTTTCTTAACCAATTCGCACTCGCACCCCATACAAATTCCGTAACATGCTCGGTTAGCTTTTACTCGAGAGCACATATACATCGCTCTTTTGGAACTTCCTACCTCAACTACCTCACGTTTTAGAAGTTCTATAGCTCATAAATCTGCAACAGAAACTTCATTGACAGCTCCAAAACTACTTACGATCCAAGAGTTTCGCTCATTTCTCAACCCACAGAGGCGAAAACTCATACCTTTACAATGTAGGCAAATACCGAACTCATCACCCACAAAGAAAGAATGAAATCTAGCAAATGAGAAGAGACCACTAAAGGCGAAGGAAAATAACTTTGGCAATACTCTGCAACAGTTAAATTCTACGACATACTCGAAGAAAAAAGACGAAAGAAAAGATGAAAAAAGGACGAACCTAGAAAGAGATCAGAGCAACCCGGAGCAATAAAAGGGACGAGAGGGGGAGAACCCTAAACCTCAAACACTCCGGGCCTCTAAGACTGGATCAAACCTGGCGAAGCGGGGCTCGGAAGAGAGCTCGGAGGAAGGGAATCCCGATGTAGCAAGAGGTCGAGGGGATTCGGGCGTGTGGAGGGAGGAAGGAACAGCACGAGCGACAGCGAGTCGGAGGTGGGCAGAGGAGAGAGAGTGAGAGAGAGCCGAGGGCGTTGGGTTTGTTGGCCGCAGAGTCCGTCACCAGCTGTCAGATGGCTCGACGTCCGGTTTGGTGTTTTAGGCGGAACGCCAAGCCGAGGTGGCATGGGGCAGCGTTGCTTTTGTCCCGTGGTGGAGAAGCGGGCGTAGTCCCCGTCCGTTGACCGAGTCATTCTAGTAAGAAAAGACAAAATAATATATATTCTGACATCATAAAAATGTCACAAAAATTAAAAAAATAGAAATTACTAACCTAAAGATAAGAGAAAAGATATATTACAAATTAAAGAAATCAAAGTTGAACGCACGTAATTATAAGTTTTACTTTATCGAAGAGAAACGATAAGAAATGTATTTATCCGAGTAGTTCTTATCTCGGAGAAATGAATATGCTGCACATCTACATATTTGCTGCTCTGTCGACAAACTTTAGGCAACGGTTAGTCCCAATAGCAGCGGTACAGTGAGGTCTAGTTTCGATTCTATCCCTGATTAAGCTTGAAATGTACAATTATCAGGTTACCTAAAATTGAATTTTAATTGAAAATTTGATTATACAAGGCGCCAAAACGTAACCATCACAAATCCATGTAATCTAATAATGCATAGCCCTCTGAAATCTAAAAATACAGCCATAAACAAGGGTGAGTGGTTCAGCTTACAAGAATCTAGGAGGTCAACCGATGTCTGGTTCATATGGTACAGAAGCAACTTGCACAAATCAAGGACTCAATCCTGGATAAGTGCAAGAGATGCAGAAGGGGCAATGCAGATGCAGATGATACTTAAAATGTAGTTTACTTCCGTCACAGTTCCGGTCGCTCTAGAAGTCGATTCATCGCCACGGCGGTATCGCTCTCCTGTTGTGAAGAGATGAAAATATCACAAGTCAATCATACAAAAACGAAAATTCAGATATGGTGATAGTGTAGGGAGTTCAGTTTTGGTAAAAGAATGATGCACCTTGTCTTCCTCCCATCGAGTGACAGATTATCGAGCCCTGGTTTTCTGCTACTGCATGATATATCTGCCTCTCGGGCTGAAAGTACCTGCGATTTTAGGAGTGTGAGCTCAGGGCGATACCAGTAATGAGAAACATGGTATGGTAAAGCTGCTCTGTTCAGAAAGAGAGTAGTAGGTAGACTAAGTACAACTTCATCTAATTTGAAACAAGCTTTAGCTCATTCGAAAATAAATGTGGATCCTACAACCTAAAACATGGATAGAGATCAGTCCAAGAGTTAGCAAGTCTTAGCCAACCTAATGGAAATTATAAGTTCCACCAATTAAAATTGTGCATGAAAGTAATCTTGGTCTAGAAAAAGTTAGTCTCTAGGATAAAAATTAAAGGGAAGTACTGAATTAAAACATTACAGAATTTTAAGGCTGCACAATCCAATGAAAAAGAAAATGGAAAATGAAGTCCATGGATGTGTTGTCCTACAGTTTCCACTACAAGCATCATGATATGGACTAAAAAGAGCATATTATTGATATTTGCTAAATTATACGAGTGTTAACCTTCTTAGTTCCCATTCCAGACGTGGAAGGGCCAGTTGTCTTTCCAGTAACTCTTTGAGACTCCCTCATTCTGGCATGTCCCTGTTGGATATTTCAATGAGATTCATCATAATCGATTTGTACAATATGTAAAAGAAATGCATGTTTTATGAAAAGTTCACTTCCAAAGGCTTCAATTATTATACTCTTAAAAGCACTTAAGTTTGGTTACAAGTTTCCAGTGAAATGTTGAGCATCTTAACATGCTCACAAATAATGGTTGTCACTTCATGACATTGTACATGGCAATCCTATTATTTTAACATGCTCACAAACAATAATTGCCACTTCATGGCACAGTACATGTAAGTGCTATCACTTTAACATGCTCATAAATAGTGAGTCACTTTATGGCACGGTACATGGCAGCGTATGGTAGTGCCATTTTGGCCAGTAGGCCCTCCATGCCGGCTGGCAGAATGCATTTATTAAATATCTTGCATATATGCAATGTCTCTAGACATGTGGACAATGAAATGTTTTATCCCACTGGATTCACAGCAAAAGTTAGTACTCCACAAGAAAGGACTTGAGCATGTTGATGTACGTTTTAAACCTGTAGACACTTCCATTTTAATAAGAAGAATAATTTGAAGCAGATATTGAAACAGAACCACTATTTCAAGATTCTTACAGTGTTAACGGTCATGATCAAGAGCAGAAAAAAGTAAATAGGAACCAAAACAAAAATAAGCAACAAATTACTTGTTAAGAAATTTCTGCAAGCCTTTTCCCTATCCATATTCCAGTACAAAAGAAATGAATATCCAAGCCACATAGCAGATATCGTAGTTGCAGGGCATAGAACAACTCCAAAATACTTATATCCGAGCAGATTAAGGCAAGCATCAATATGGTAATTTAATATAATTATAATCAAATACTAACAATACCAATATAAGCATTTACTAATTTTTTTCCTTTACTCGAGCAATTAACACCACTCACAAGACTCCAAAGTTACCCTGTGATTCTCTCACAACCTTGCATCACCATTCACATTTGACATGCAATCATCTATTAACTGCATATTGACTATTAAATACTGACCATTTGCATAGCCATCTGGTTTATAGCTCCCATCATGCTACTGGATAATCCACAGTCCCACTACTCTTTATTGCTAAAGCTAGATGGACCCAGAAACCACGGGAGATACCCTTAAAAGTACATCAGATTATTAGGTACAGCTAAACCCAAAAGATCAAAATTATTAGGTTATTGCCCAACACCATCATTAGACTAGCCACTCCCATGTGACAAATAAATAAATCAGATAGAAAATTCAGATGCACCTAGGCCAAGTGCAACTATGTTACAATGATTGTCCTTTGTGTTCACAAGCTTGAATTAACATACTGGAAGTTGACCTCCGTTTTTTGGAAGAAACTAATGTTGAATACACACCAACAGTGAAGAATTTTATTATACCATTACAGAAGCCAATTTGATCACATCAAATCTCAACCTTTTCATTTATTGGAAGTTGGAAAATCGCATTAGACAAAACTACAGAAAGAAAAAAAAAAAATGAAAATTTACCACAAGAAACACCTTCACAGATGATGGTGCTTCTTGTATCTTGTAATTATACTTTCAATCGAACAACGGTTGGCGTTTTTATAAAATCAACAAAAAGAAAGTTCATATACATTTTTCTCTATTACTATGATTATTAGGGAATACATATAGGATTTAAAGTTGCTTCTTTATTCTGGTGCACATAACTAAAACCTCAAAAGGAATTAGGAAAATGAAATGACTGTTCTAAAAAAAGTAACATTCCCAAAAACTGCATGGAAAAGATAGAATAGTAACCAACAGCTTTATGGGGATTAATTTATGTTCTAAATACATGAAATTGATGCAATCTAAACAAAGCAAAGTCAGCAAAACAATTCATTTATCATTACCTCATTTTCATTGGTTCCTTTGGCAGTTGCAATTTTGTACTCCGTTCCACCATTACATGTCAATTTGTTCCTAGCAGGAAGGTTAACAGACCTGAACATCCAGATCAAAGGAGGTTTCAGATTCTAAAAAGTCCAGTTAATTAGTGAAAAATTATAAGGCAACAAAAACTTACTCAAGTGAGAAATTAAGTTACAACTGAGAAGGGGCAATCTTATGTACCAAAATTGTAGAAGTCAGCAAGATACAAAATTTACTAGGTAATATAAAACTCAAAAAGGTTACATAACAATTATCACCTTGACTTGGGTGGCCCAACATGTGACTCAGTTATTTTCGAGCTTGCATACCGACTGTCCACGGCCAAAGGCTTCTTTTTTACTTCTTTTAAGTCCCTAAAATTTAAAGCAGAACAATAAGGAACAATATTTTGAGGATCTAAAGAGCAGGCAGTATCATATTCTGAATACGTTAAAAATATATTTTTTATCAACCTTTTAATTTCTGCTCCTCTTCTGCTAGTTATTTCACTAGTTGCGGACGTTTTCCTCAACATATTCTGTGAAAAAGGAATAAGCATAGACAGACCCAAAATATAGTTACTTTGGAGATAATAAGAGGAAAAAAAAGCTACTCATGCCACTAAGAGAGGACAAAAAGTTCCTTTAGAGATAAATTCAATTCATATGAAAGAATCAGTGAAATTTTACAGCAGATAAGCAAATACATGAAGGTTGATCAACTACTTTTGAAAGAGTATTTATGCCCATTGAATAGTAGTTAAATAACACAAACAAAAGATGAGAAATATATACTAGCAAATCATATATAAAACTTTAACAAGATTGAAGCTTTGCTTTTTCTTCGCAAGAGCTGTGGAGCATATTTCACTTGAGATGACTAAATCTGTCAAAATTAATCAAAAAAAGCAGCCCAAATCAAATGATAGGAAATAATCAAAACATGTGGAACTTGGAAGATCATATCTAGTAGTCATGAACACTAAGCACTGGATGAAACTATCATAAGCACCAAGCACTTGATGAAACTGTGTCATGACAAGCAACATGCTAAACATTGCATGAAATTCACCTGTACACTTAAACCACCCTTAGCATGACTTAGTGATGATGCTGACTTGTTTAAACTTCCAGGGTCCAGCTTTGCTGCACTTCCTCTACTGTTTGCTCTTCTTTCCATTACAAGAGTAAATGGACCTGGGCTGGTGATATTAGAGCAGGCTTCTGTAAGTGGTGCTTTTGAAGCATTCATGGCAGTCCTAGCATTGCTTTCTATTCTACTAGCTGTACTCTTGCGTGGAGTTTGATTGGCCATCTTTTGTGATGGATTTTTTAGTACCTTTGATGGCCGAACCACATTTAACTTAGTTTCCCCCTTCACATTTTGACCATGTCTAACTGCAACAGAATCCTGAACACAAGAAAAAAGGATAGCCCAATTATATAAAATACAAAGAGAAGAGTGCAAATATTTTGACACACTGCCCAATTTTCATTACTTTGCATATTTGCCTTTGATATTCAAATCTACTTAAATAAAGCTGCAGTTTGGGCTAATGAAAGACAAGTTGGTAGAAAAATAATGACTAGATCAACATAACCTTCCCACAGTAATTGATACTAGATGAATCCATCCAATAGTCTAAATGTCCATGTTAGGTTTCAGGAATGTTCCAACAACAATTCTTAATATCCCATAACAAGTGTATAGTGATCAATAAATCCAACATACACCACTAAACTGATACCTATGATTCATTCAATAGCTTCTTAGCAATTTCTAGAACTTCTTATGCTAATTATTGAAGGGAAATTGTCCAACCTATCTATGTGGAGATTAATGGTCAAAGAAAATAACTGCAGGAGAGCATCTGCCAACACACCTTAACATTAGAAAGTGATTTATTATCCAAAGATTTTCTTGACTGCAACTGACGAGACTTTGTTTTGGTAGCACCCGATGCTGTCTCTTGTGTAACACATCTAGACTCAAAATTTGACATGAGGTTCTTATGTTTCTGCAAGGTCTCTTCATTGTCAAGATTGCTGCTACAATTTGATACAATCTCCACATCTCCTGTAAGTGGCAATGAGGATTCTGTTTCCAATGGTTGCACCAGCACAGTGTCAATAGAGGTTTTATCTGGCTCAGTTTCTTGCAAAATTCCTCTTGAAGAAGTAGGATTTTGAAATATCGATTCTGGATCCAAGCATCCTTGTTGAGGTCTATTCCAGTTAATTTCCTGTTCGAAGCTTGGACCAGGTTTCACTTCTTCTGAAGATTGACCAGTGTTTGCTGCGGCATCTCTGGCACTTTCATCTAGTGAAGCTGCTCCATCTTCTTCTCCACTTTGGCTAGAAATACTGCCATCACCACTATAATCCAATGTGAGTTCTGTTTGTTGATTCTGTTGAGCCTTCATAGCTCGAATCCTTCTATAGCGCTCTTCAAAATATGCCTTCTTTTTGGCAACTAACCCATTGAACTTCTCCAGCTCCTCCTGACACCTGTTGTGAACAAACACTGACTTCCTTTCCCATGACAATGATTCAATTGGAAATCTTCCAAAAGAAATGGAACCGTGTTCAAGCATTTGAGACACTGAGGGTTCCTGAAAGAACCAGTAAGCCATAATTACCTAAAACAATGGTATCCGTAACTTTCTGCAGAATCATAGGAAATATTTTCTATATAGAGATGAGAAACAATCGCCAACATGACTGTCATATTTTACTGACCCTTTTCAGGAAAAAAAAAAACCTAAATAATGGCATGCTCTGTTAATTCCAGCTTTAACATAGGGAGTTGCATGCAATATCTACAAAACTAGAAAAATCCACCAGACCAATTACAAGTAGCCATCAAATACTGCAAGTTTGGCTTCTCAAATTATAAAGTAAGATATGAAGCATATCTGGATTTATCCTTATTAGGCAACTCAAATGTTTCAAGTAATTTTCACCTGGAAAAAGGAATGGTGTAGTCTTTATTACACATCCTATTTAACATGTTAACTAATTTCAGAATGTTAAATTTGCGGTTTTATATACTGACTACCAAAATGCACAAAATTGTTAGCAAATCTTAAACTTTTAATCACCTTCAATCCATCTAAAACCTTAAGACATTGGACGAAACATGATATATTAGTTTATATTGTTAACACTCGCCCTCACATGTGATTGACAAACTGACTCAAACCCAACACTTGGAGATGCATATTTCTTTTCTTAATGTGCGGCAAGAATAAGATGTGAACATTGGAACATCCACTCTGATATCATCTTAAAAATTCAATGACAATTATTTTATCCAAAAGTTTAAGCTAATAGATGAGACATGATCTATTTATCGATATTATTAATAGCAAAAGAGAAAACAAGAAAGGAAAATTTATATTAAAATAATACATAAAAGGAAGAACATATGCTACAAATATCAGCTATGTCAAAATGGTGAACTGATTTTTAAAATTTTCAACCAGCCTGCTTAGTCCCCATTGTTTTCCCTTGTGGGAACTTCCATTTCAATTACCCAACATTTTTTGGGACTAAATCCCCAACATCTGCAATGAAAGAAAAACTCTTGTACAACCTAACAAAGGTCTAATACATGTCATTCTAAGTACAACCAATCTATCTTAACGAACATGTCATGTACCCTTTCAAGCTTCAAAAGTTTACAGGAACTCCTTTTTCCTTTTCATTAAATTTTCTGTGCCTGTGGTTATAAGATTTGTTCACAATGCCCACTTTATTTTAGTTCATGATCCCATGGTTCCATTCTTGTTTTTCTTATTTTTAATGCATCATATGTAGTTCCATACTTATGCCAATCACCAATACATTTGCTTGTTACTTTTATTTTAGAATGTTTTCTTATTTCAGCTAATAAAAATTAGTGTATATTTCGTCATCATATTTGTGGGTTATGTACATCATGTATTGGTTTGCTTTATGGTACCTCAATCACACACTTTATTTATGTTTCTATTTTTTTTTTCCAAATTTTGTACTTGTTTTTTGTCATTATAAATTATTGCTATATTTATTTTGTACTAAATTCATATCCACAATTAATAGTTATATTAGCACAAATTGAGCACTGTGTTCCTCCTCGTTCCTCGATAAGAATATTGACCCCCCTTGCTTGTACATAAATGGCAAAAAATATTCACTCTATTTATGACCATCAATAAACATTAATCACTTTTGATACTGTTTGAAATTTGAATACTATTGATAGCATTAGGAACTAAATTTCAAGACAAAAAAGCTACAATATGATATGATGCAGTTGTTCAACGCCATCAGAACAGCAACTGAAGGAAAAATTAACTTAAAGGTGATCAAGAAGGGAAAGAGAGAGAGAAAGAGAGAGAGAGAGAGAGAATTACATGAGACTCATCTCCTTCAGGCAATTCCTCCCGTGACCAATCTCGGTAGGCTTGATCAACATCAGTTGCCATTTGATTACTTGTCAAGTTGAAGAAGTTGCACACGAAACCATGGAAGTTGCACAACTACATAATGGTCAAGAAGGTCAAAACAATCAGTTATTGAACATACAAGAGGAAATTTGAATATGCTGCACCATCAGAAAAAGAGAATAAAACACTGAATATTGTTGATGGCTAACTCAAACAGTAACTACAAGACAAAAAAATGTGGGGATGATAAACAAAAACAATTGAAAATTCTGGTCTAACTAGATATTGAAAAATTCTATGCATTATAAACATGTACCAGAATGCTATAGCATTCATGAAAACATCTAATATACTAACACAGATTTTGAAGTAATTGGGAAAATAACAGATCTCCAAATCAATGCAGTTCTTGTTATTTTTTCAAGAAATTGCTTTATTGTTCGCACAAGGTTTCAACACCTTTCCTTCTAACCCTCTCACAACCTTGGGTTCAAACATTCCAACTCTAATCAGTTCATACAGACACCTCAGCCCACCGAGCCACTTCCATCTCACTACCAGGAATCTGGAAATACCACTGCCAAGCCCAAGAACAGGATATGAACTCAGAATTTTGGAACGCCATTTTCCCACTGAACGACACTTCACTAAGAGCATGAAGTAGAACACACACAAAAAAAGTGTTCAGCTTCGCCATAAACATGTAAAACCAAGACTCCCAATAGTAAAATAAAGAGAAAAGTATACTATGGAGAGAAGAAGGCACGGACAGGAGCAAGGCAAATCCTAAGGAACAAAAAATCATTACTTCGAACTTCACAAGGAAGAGAAAATAAGAGAAAGGAGGACAGATTGCATTAATTTCTTCTTGTCCGCTCTTCTCTTCTCATACCAAAAAATCAAAAGAACCCGCCCGAGCTGACCCGCAATAAAACAACCGACAAGCCAGTACGTACGAATCCAATAATTATATGGATACTCTACTGTGTTTGTCCAGCAGAGCCAATTGTTTTACCAGGAACCCCGCTGAACACGCCACGACGATGATGGATGCGATCCCATAGAAGATAGATAGATTTGGGTTCGATATATGTGGATTTGGATCCGCTAAATGGGTTATCGGATCCATTGGCTACTTTTGTTTTCAGTTGGTGAAGGGCCATGACGGACCTTCCCTAGCGGAAACTGCCATCTGGCGCCGCAGTAGACCATCATGGCCTGCGAGAGTGGCTGGAGTAGAGTTCCTGCGCACCGCTCAATCCGGCTATTCCCGGAAGTGTATCTTTTGTCCTTGTGTGGAGCAATTGAGGCAGACCACGTGCCGTGATGTATGGGTTGGGCGGACATGACCACACGATGAACAGGAGCGTTGATTTGGCGTTATGTTCCTTGGATAAAGGCGCAGCCAAGTTGGTACGCAGCCCACCCTGTGACCACCTTAGCGATAGACTGTAAACAACAGATCCACCTATTTCTATTATTTTTCTAGAAGAAACAGATGCTTCTTCAAATTATGATCGGGCAAAATTATCATGGCAAACCTTACTTTTAGAAATCTGCCAGAATCGTGTCCCCTTTGCCTCAGTCAGCCTCGTTCATCTTTTCCGGAGTAAGAACGCCCGTCTGGTCTCCAATCCACTTCCACTAAGATTTGTAGCTTGATTCCATGTGGACGCATGTGCATCTCAATGGCTGGATAGAAAGACGGGTGCCAGAATAATTTCAATAGAAAAAGTTGCCTAGTGCACGTCTTTTGACGAATCGCATCCTAATTGTGGGTTGGGTGTGGTTCGTAGCACTAGACTGCATCTTTTGCTTGTAAACAGATTTTAACCTTTTTACTCCCTGGCCCACAGAACGGAAGTGTCTAAGCCCCCCCCCCCACATATCATTAACCCATCACCCATCAACCTCGCTTTCATCCTACAGCGGCAGCTCAATCAACCTTCCTCGGTGCATCGAACGAGATGAAAAAGCCATCACGCAAAAGGTTCACAGGCTTCACCTTACAGTGTTCCTCCCTTGCACTATTAAGGTTCACAGGCTTCACCTTACAGCCCACCGTGACAGCTGCGATTCGCCAAATCATCATCCCTTCAGTACTAGTTGTTGGGCTTTAGCCATCAAGCGCTACATCAGCCAGAGACTCGTGACGGCACGCTATTACTAGTTACAGGACGACGGATCCGATCGCGTTTCCCCGCTAGAAAAAAACAGACGTTCGCAAGTGGACCGACGGAAACAGATTACGTCGTTTCCCCAAACCCCAGATTCGAACAGCTCACTGAACCGAGTTCATCTCCCAGATCGAAGTGGAGAGGAATGGAGTTCTTGAACCCCTTTTCCCCGAAATCCTACCTCGATTTCGGATACATTTCCACTCACCGAAACGCTCTTTGTTTTCCTTTCCACTTCCTCGAATGTAGTCCTCAAACCAGTTTGAATCCAGCACCAAGTTACCCACCGATTCGAGAACTTTTCGAACAGAGTGAAGGAGGTAAAGCAAGCGACAAGAATGAGAGATCCGGACAACGCGTACCTTCTTGGAGACGTAGGGTGTGATCCGACGAAGAGCACTTGGATCCGAGCCAGGGAGGAGAGATCCACGCAGTCTGCCACCAGAAGAGAGGAACCAGGAGAGATAATGAGGAGATCGAAGTGGAATGAAGAGCGTTTAAGCGAGCTCGTCCATGGACTCGAGAGCTAATAACACGGATGGGGGGACAGAGAGATCAGGTGAGAGGTTTTTTATGTTTGGCGGAAAGGGAGGAGCAAGGCGGGATCAGAGAAAGGGCGCAGAGATCTGACCGTCGATCTGGAGAGGTTCCTGATGTGGGTCGTCGGATCCAAGCTTTGACCAAGAGACGCCCGGTGCGACACTCTGGTTCAACGCATGTGCCTCGTGGCTAATTTATTGTGCTGTATTCCGCGACATCCCCTAATCCTTGTGCGCCCCGTAAGTGTTTCTTTGCCTCGTTGAACTGTCAATAGGCTGGGATCCAAATAAGGTGACACGGTAAATACACAGGGCGAGACTAAATTGTTTCTACTTGAAAATGTTGGCGGCATCAATTGAAATCGAGTCGATTCGGACCGGCCCGGACCGGACCGGACCGGACGACCAGGTTAGATTAATTTGACTTTTTTTGTGAAAGTCAATATGGGGTCAAAATTTCCGACTCGAATTGGCATGTTCAGATGTTCCTGAGAGATGGGAGGAACGGTGGGGCAGTCCATCAATCGAGTACGGAGGCAGGATTTGAGTTGGATTGGGCTCACTTCCAAGCCAAGACAGGTTTGGCCTTTTTGCCTCACTTTAGGAATTTTAGTAGGATTTTATGTCTATTGCTACGCTCGAGTGGTCAGCTTATTGATGAATTAGGAATAGAAACTCGTACAACCTATATAAAAATTATAAAGTGAAGATTTACTTTTTATTTTTCATTTTAACATTTCTGCGTAGTATTATTATTTTTAATGTCTCCAACCAAACTATCCAATGAAATTGAGTTGCTTTATTTGACTATTTACATTTGATCAATTGTCTCTTTCTATTATTTAGAATCAAATCATTCGTTCAATTTGCAGTCACAGTTAAGATGGTTAGAAATAAAAGAAAATTACTCAATCTAATAATTCAATTATATTTTATATTTTTATAGTATGATCGTTATTAATTTTTTATCATAAAAAAAATACTTTACTAGTAAGTGTCATAAAAAAGGGACGATAAAAATAAAAGAAAAAGGAAAAAGCACCCGTAGAATTGTCGACCAGAAATCGGGGGGAGGCGGACAGTTGTCGGGGACCGCGTCGCACCGGCCACACGCCCCGCCTCGGCGCCTCCGCCGCTCGGCCCATGTCCACAAAAAGAAACCGAGGGAGGGCGTGACCGTGCAGAACACGACGGAACCCTTGAAACCCCCCACGTCCAACGTCCAATCCTTCCGATTTCGGTTTCATCCTCATCCGCAATCCTCAGCATTCCGTGTCGGGAAGCCCTTACACCTCGATCTACATGGCGGGGGCTTCGGATCTTGCGGTGTCGCGCGGGTGGGGGCGGGGCTGGACGGTCGCTGGTGTGGGGAAAGGGTCGGGTGTTCGTGCTGTTGCGCTTCTCGATCCGAGCGCTAGATGTAGGGTTCCGGTCCGTCTTCAGGTTGGACTCCGACCTCGAACGAACCCTGTCTTTGTTCTTTTCTGGCTTAATTAGACACGATCTTCCTTTTCGTTTGATAAATTTCCGTTTCAGATGAACTAATAAAACGAAATCGTCATCATTTGTTAATAGAATTATGGTTCTTTACGGACAAAAGTTGTGAACTTGTCGGCTAATTTTGGCTTTCCAACTCTTCCCCTTCCTATCAGTGATGAAAGTTTGTGTTTACCGTTGGAGCTGCTGCCCCCAAAACTTTCGTCCAGTCTTTTGTTCATGTTTAATTAGGGTCTAAGATTCTGGGTCATTCTTTGATTATCTTTTTTTGCAAAATAAAATTAACAATAATTAAGGTATGGAGACTTGCAGTTTCATGTGAAAATTATTTTGTCTATCTAGAAATTTCAGCTGGATGTACTTTAATTCTAAACTTACAGTAATCAATGATATTCGTGTAAATGTTTGCCAAGAATTTGCTCTGATCTTATCTTTTACAATAAGCAACAAGCGTAATGTGTAAAACCGATATTTCAATATCTTGTGTTTACTAGGATAACTAGTTGGTGTGTTTTATTTGTCATCCTTCTATTTGTCTTTTAAAACAACAGTTTGGTAATTCTGATGCATGGAAAGTCTGAGTGGTTATATCATTGGTGATGAGCACATTTCATCATAAATCATATTCTAATATTGGCATTGGTAGTGTTGGTACCAAGGAATGCAATTTTGGATACTGGACTTGCACTTGTTGATTAAGATCCATGTTTATGAGATCTGGTGTAGTTTTACACTGCCATTTGGTGACCTAATGCAAGCCTCCATCGTTTTTATCCGGGATTGGGCCCTAACAACATATATAAAAAAAATTATGTTGTTGAGATGAGAATATTGATGTGGATGTGTGGAGTTACTAAGAAAGATCAGAAAAAAATATTTTTATTCGTGAACAATTAGGTATCGTTTTGATCGAGGATAAAATGAGATGGAGTAGTGGTACGAGAAGAGATGGAGTAGTGGTATGAGGAGTGATAAAGGAAGACCTAGAAAGATTTTAGTAGAAACTATAAATAAAGATTTAAGTATTCTTGACTTAACTAAACATATGACTTTTTATAAATTTAAATGACAACAAAAGATCCATGTAGTCAACCTCGAATAATTGAGACTTTCGGCTTTGTTGTGGTTGTTGGACTTGTTCCAGTCAATGACCGGATTGATATTGGTTCAGTCCGCGTGTGTACCAATACATAGTATGTCGGGATGTACCATGGTCCAAGGAGAAAAAGGAAGAAGAAAGACAAAGGAGGAGGAAGAGGGTGGACAGACGATAGCATATGATGGTGGTCGAGCAATGAGGAGATGGAGAGGGCCTTTAAAAGATTAAATCCGCAAACTGGACCAGACTGGACTGGTCCAAAATGGGGTGGTCCATGTATTGGTTCATGCTCGAATCGGTAACCTCGAGTCACCAGAGATTGGTCTGGACGAAATCGAGTTTGTTGTTTGATGCAACCTTTTGCTTATTATCATCATCACTGATTAGACGATTGGAAAAAGAGAACTAAATTTGTTTTCGTTACATTGAAGTCTCATTTATTGTCATTTACATTCATATTTTGTTTGGTTGCAGGATTACACATGCCATGTTGGTCGATTTTCTCTACATGATCCAAAGATAAAATATGCTTCATCTCATCGAAGATTACATGCGCGCATGGCGTTAGTTGATGATAAAATTGTTCACCCACCTAATGTTGTGAAACCTAACTTAGCGCTGGTCAGTAATGAATTTATTAAGATTATGCATTATAATATTTAGAACATCGGAGCTAGCAGTGACATAGGAAACATCATTTTGCGTAAATACATGCAATATATACGATAAAGAATTTCTTATTATTGATCATAACGATTGTTTAACTTGATATTTCTTTTAATCTTATGCAGGCATATGATCTGGTCCAAGGAAGCCTTGTAAGCCAATTGCTAATTCAGTCTCCTATTGTTATGTTAGATGCTTATTTGCTTGTATCTTTGTCCTTGCATTTAATTTTTTGTTGGAGGCCACTACTCCAAATGGTCGAAGTTGATTAAGTCAGACGTAAATTGACTTAACTGCTACGATTCATCTGAAGTTTCAACTGTATATCATTATTAGTTAGTTTTTGTTTATCAAAACAACCATTTGATTCGTTATTCGATCTTCTTATCAATTTGAATGAATTTGTGTGTCTATGTTGTTGCCATATTAACTTATTTGAAAAGTTATGTGTTGTATTCACTTTTATAGTCACTTTTTAAGAGTTTCAAACTAAATTATATGATTTAGTGGAGTTATGTGTTGTATTCTCTTTCTATTTTGGAGTGCCCAGGTGGAATCCTTATTGACTACATAGTTTAAAAACTTACTACTTTTTGTGCAGGTAAGTTGGAATTCTTTTACGGACAAGTCAATACCTGATCCACCAACTGCTGTTCTCCTGCATGGAATTCTTGGTTCCAGGAAGAACTGGGGTGAGTAAGCTACTTAGGCTTACAAGTTGCTGACTTTGTTGATTTGAATTGTTTCTTAAAAGCTACCATAAGATAGTTATCTGCCTATTTCTTTATTGCTTTATTCAGTTTATGAAAGCATGATTTTGTTATCTTGGCCTGGTTATTAGCTATCTTTCATTATTCTTATGCATTTAATTGAAAAAAATAGTGCAATGCTTTCCAGATTTCTTTTTCAGTAATGCCTATGCTTGGAATCCTGAGGCTTTGTAATTTGTCACAAATAACTATTATAGTGTAAAAAAAAATCCATCCAAATATATATATTTATATATCATGATGGTGAAAGTGAAATTAGATGCAAAATTTCAGAGGTTATTCTATTCGGTTGATGCTGATGATTTGTGGTTAAAATATCACAGGGTCTTTTGCTAAGAGATTGGCGCAAGAGTTTCCGACGTGGCAGGTATGTCACAAACTACATAAAGCTTGACCATTCTCGTAGCATCTGTCCACATGTTTGTTGATATCCAAACTCTGACCTAGATAATAGCTCCTCCACTGAGATAATAAGCAGCTGTAGTAAACTTCTCCTTCTTGTTTCTCCATGCCTTTACATGGACCGTTCTTTAGAAATGATTCCTTCCTACATCTAAGTGATACTTACATTATATCATTTTCTGTGAAATTGCTTGTCTTTGCATGTGTTCATAGCTAATGCAAGTCTATGCAGCATAGCATCTCTTTTAACTGTTGCTTGTCTTTTCAACATAAAGTTGAGTATTTAGTAGCATAAAGTTATTTTTATTTTTTTAATTTTGACAACCTCTAAATAAATATTGGTAGAAACACAAATACCTAATATGTGATAGTCCTCAAAGGATGCATCTTATCAATTATTTGTTCTTTTCTTTACACTTCTGTTGTTGCTATACTCTTTTAAATGCAGTTTCTTTTAGTTGACTTGCGTTGCCATGGTGAATCGGCATTGATAAAGAAAAATGGGCCTCATACTGTTGCCTCAGCTGCACTTGACGTTTTAAAGCTTGTAGGTATTTTATAGCCGCCACTTAAATTTTGCACAGGTTATTTTCTGCATTTCACGCACTGTATTCAACTACTTGTTTTTACTTGCCGATATTTAGTATATTTTTATGTCTTCTAAAAGGTTAAACATAGAGATCTAGTGTTGTCATGTCAGAATAATTTTTTTCTGAAAATCCACATAAATGGTAGATGATGATGTACCTGATGAGTGAGCAACTCAGATCCATGGATATTGGTCCAACTTATTACTGGCATGCAATAAACCATATTAAGTATGTCAATACTTTAAGCCTTCAATCAAGTCTTTTATATACTTCTTTTTGTTGATATATGCTGTATTTCAATATTATACATTACCAATTAAATCTGAGAGGGTTCAGTATGGTGTAGGAACTTGAGTTTTGATTCCTTGATCCATATAAGTATTGTATCTCAATGGTTATAGTACCAGCAAAATTAGTATCCGAAATTTGTTTTTTTTTATTCTTATTAGATATTAACTATTTTGTGCTTTGCTCTTTTGTTAAGCAATTACTTCTTAAATTTTCTTATTGTTAAATTTAACAAGAAAATTGTTAAATTTTCTTGTTGTTAACTCTTTTATTATTATCTGATATTTTTATCTCAAAACAGGTTGCACAACTTAGAGTGACACCTCGTGTCTTAGTTGGTCACAGCTTTGGCGGAAAAGGTATTTCTTCACTATTTTGGTTGTTTATTGATGATCATTCAATTTGTGTACTCTAATGTTATTTGCATTATAATTGTCTTCTATCAGTGGCCTTAAGTATGGTAGAACAAGCTGCAAAACCTCTTGCTAGACCTGTCAGGGTAAGATCGTAGTTTACTTGATGCTTGCTTGTAAATATCTGTTTATACAATAATAACAACAACAACAAAGCCGTAAGTCTCAACTATTTAGGGTTGGCTACGTGGATTTTTTGTCGTCATTGAGATCCGGCAAAAGTCATATACTCAGTTAAGTTTAGAGTACTTAAATCTTTATTTATAGTTTCTATTAAGATATTTTTAAGTCTTCCTCTATCTCTTCTCATATCACTAACATTAATTATTTTCACTTCTTCTGATTACCGCATCTAGAGGTCTCATAAACACATGCTCGTACCATCTTAAACGATGTTCTCTCATCTTATAGTATATCGAAGCGATACCTAGTTGTTCAAGAATAAAGGTATTTGTTTTCTTATCTTTTCTAATAACTCAATATATCCATCTCAATATTCTCATTTCAACAACACAAACTTTTTGTATTTGTTGTTTCTTAACTGCCCAACACTTAGATCCATAAAACATTATTGATCTCACAACTATCTTACATTTTTTTTTTTAATCTTAATGTATTCGATGATCACACAAGACTCCTAACGCCTCTTAACATTTTAACCATATGGTTTTTTATTCTATGAATAATATCTTCATCGATCTCTTCATCTTGTTGACGATCTAAAATACCTGAAGCTTTTATTCAAAAAGATTTTTTGTCCATTCAACTTAATTATATATATATATATATATATATATATATATATATATATCTAGAATCACTAAAATTATATTTTTTTATATTCAATTTTAGTCCTACTTAATCTAAAATCTTTAATTTTTAAGACTTGTCACTATAGCTTAAGTTTATAATTAATTCCACTTAAGCGCTCATCAATTAAGACAATATCATCAACATATAACATATGCCAGGAGGTCTATCATATAAGTGACTAGTAAGTTCATTTATTATCAATGTAGGGACTTAATGCAGATTTTTGATGTAATCTTATGCTAATAGCAAACTCATCAAACACACTCCCTATGGTCTTAACTTTAGTAGCTATTTTCTCATACATATATTTAATAACATTAATATAATTAATAGATACACCTTTCTTTTCTAAAACCCATAATAATAAATCTTTAGGAACCCTATCATATGCTTTTTCTAAGTTAATAAAAATCATATGCAAATCTTTCCTTTTCTCTCTGTACTTTTTATTAATTGTCTTAATAAATAAATAGCTTTCATGGTTGATTTTTCAGACATAAAACCAAATTAATTTTTAGAGATATTTATTTTAAGCGTTATCCTACTTTCAATAATTTTTTCCTGAAGTTTTATAGTATGACTCATGAATTTAATTCCTCTATAATTTAAACAATTTTGTATGTCACTTTTATTTTTATAAATTGATACAAAAAAGCTCTTTCTTCATTCATCAAACATCCTTCCGAATTTTATAATTTTGTTAAATAAGTTAGTTAATTAAGCTACTCTCTTGTCCCTTAAACGTTTCTAGATCTCAATAGGGATAACATCATACCTCATACTCTTTGCTATTTTCATCTTTTTTAATGCGTCTTTTATTTCATTAGCTCTAATTTTACAAGCAAAGCTATAATTATTAAATCTACCACTATTATTTATCGTTAAATCTAAGTCATGTGTGGAATATTCATTAAATAATTTATAAAAATAATTTTCTTTATCTTTCCTTAATCTCATTATCATTAACAAGTACTCCTTGATCTTCTCTTTAATGAATCGAATATTATCTAAATACTTATACTTTTTTTCCTTAACTTTGACGATTTGATATATTTCTTTTTCACCATCTTTAGTTCCTAATTTATTATAAAAAATATCATAAGTAATTTAGAGCTTAAGTTCTTACCATCAAAGCCATAAGAAAAATACATAATAAGTAAAAAGTTTGACATTATCTTAAAAGGTTTGGGTTCTTGATGCTACTCCCGGGAAGGTTCGAGCTGGAGGAGATGGTGAAGATCATCCTGGAGAATTGATTGCTTTTTTGAGTATGATGCCAAGGCAGGTGTGTTTCTTTGAAAAGAGTTCTTCTCATTGTCCCTAATGCAGAAGAAGTTATTGGTCCTATGCATACTGTTTGTAATTGAATTTTAGGTATACCAGTTTACCAACATATAAAAAATTCAATCATGTTATTGATATTTCTTGGAGCTGGGTTCTTACTTCTTAAAGCTTCTTGGAAGTAAATTCCTAGCTTACCTGTGAACTTCTAGGTTTAAAAATTGCTCACCAGCCCACAAAAATTAATCGATTGCTTTTGTTGTCATGATACAATGTGTTTTCTGTGGATTCTAATTCTTAATTGCAAGATCTGTACACTTTAATACTTACATGCTTATCAGGTCTCTTCAAAGCAGAATGTTGTAGATGCTCTGATTCAGGAGGGATTTTCTACAGACATTGCCCGGGTATGAGTAACCTCAATGCTAACTCCCTTAGTTAACTACAGTTTCTTATATAAACTTGTACTCTGGAGCCTTGTATGTTCACACACATTCACCATCAAAATAACAGAGCATGTTGCCAGGATGTTAACTTGTTTTTTTGGTTTTATATGTTAAAATATGGCAATGTGGTTGTATTTTTCGAATGGTTCCTTAGACAAATGCTTCATATTATTCTCTTTCCAAATGGAAAAGACAGTATTAATTTTCGTAATGCCTATGCATTCATTTATTGTTATGTTCAACATGAGGTTATCTTAATGATTGTTGAGGATCTATCTAGATGAAAATTCGAGCATATCACCAATTAAGCTAAGTTTGAATGTGAGAACTTCACTCTTATGTTATAAGAAAACCAACCTAATCTGGATCATTTTCAGGTAAAGATTCAATTTACTAAGTTATTTGACATGATGTGAAGTGTGAAGATTAACACTAAGCATAGCCTGTTATTTCCATGGTGTATGAGAAAAAATTGAAATTGATGCAGATGCCAGTTGATCCAGTTTACTTCTGAATGATGTAACAGCTCTCTAAAAGTACATCAACTTTGGTTGAAGACATGCTTTCTTTCTGTATTTTTTTTTTTCTTGCTTCTCTCAATACAAATATATTTTTGGTTTTATAGGCTGTGAATTGGTCCTTGTGGCCATAGAGAAACTAGAGTAAACATGCTAAAGCTAGAGTATAAATGAAAATCAAACATCTAGTTGTTCCCGTCAGGTATATGCTACACTAGGAGACACCTAGTGTATCTTTAATTGAAATTTTGAATAAAAGGTATAGTTTAAGTATTCTGCTTTGGTTACCGCCATCGGTTTCTAGTTAATGTATCATCCATTGAGCATGATCTTTTTAAAATGTTCTTTTCCTAGTGGATGGCCACAAATCTCCGGCCAGTTAGTCAACCTGGTTCACCATCATCAGGCTTCTCATGGATTTTTGACCTCAAGGGCATTGCTGACATGTACAAGTCCTACGAAGAAACAAATTTATGGTATAGAAACATTGTTTCTAGTTCACACTGTCACATAAATATCATTAGCAATTCCTTATGTCTGATCTACATATTGGCAGGGAAACCGTGGAAAATGTCCCTCGTGGTGTTCATGTGAATTTTTTGAAGGCTGAGAGAAGCTTACATAGATGGGCTCTTGAAGATCTTCGAAGAATTCGTGCTGCAGAAGAATTGGCTGCAGATGAGGGAGCTGGGGTTCAGCTACATGTTCTTGAAGATGCTGGTCACTGGGTATGTTTCCTACATTCTTGTGTCATTATGTTTCTCACCATTGTTATTGATGTGCTGTTGTTTGGGAATGTTCTGCAATTTGTCTGCTAGACAATGAAGAGTAATTGAAAAAAAAGAAAAAATAAATCCAAAGGTGGAAAATCATCATGAAGGATATTGTTGGTTTTGGTCCCACAAATGCTGTACATTTATAATGTTCCAAATGAGCTCCACTAGAGTTATCTTCTATCCTAGGCATTTCACGGATCAAGGAATATTTGACGAGAAAATGTTGTAGGCATATTTAATCATTAGCATATAGTTAGCAAGTTCCTGTGCACTTGACATGTAATGTTTTTTGCTTTCAGGTGCATGCTGACAACCCTGATGGGCTCTTTAGGATCCTCTCGTCTTCCTTTCTGGGATTGAGAACACAATAGCAGGAACTCACATGATTGTATCAAAATGGTCACCTTGGGGAGCAACACTGGTAGGCTATTAGTATGACTTTTATGAGTTTTCGCATTGACAATGTTTTCCTCATCTGCATGATTTAATTGATTAATATATCTTTTCTTCATCCTTACCTTTTAGTTTGCATTTTGTAACATGTTTGCTACTAATGATAGTTGTTCATTGTATACACACCTTTTTGGTTGGTTCAGAAACAACTTATGATATATTAAATTCCTTTTCGGCCATGCTTCAGCTTGTATCATCTGTAGTTTGAACAGTTTTGTTTGAAGCAATTATTTTGCACCTAAAGCTGAGTACAATTGGGTGATTACTGAATGTGATATCCGCTCTCGATTAATGTAGAACTTCTCTGATGATTTGTTTTTGGAGAAATTGTTACAATATATTGTGTTGTAGCTCATTCAACATTTATCTGTATTTCTTCTGTAAAAGCTCAAGATTATCGATGTTGTTAATTTTTCTAGGTTTTCTAATGCACAAACAAACATGTTGCTCCAAGTACATAATTCCAGAGAGCAGTGATTAGTATCATTATCTGATGGTTGTCATTTGAGACTACTGCACAATCATGCTTCTAATGCACAAACAGGCTACTCCAAGTATATATTTCCAGAGAGCAGTGATTAGTATCATTATCTGATGGTTGTCATTTGAGACTGCAGCACAAATATTTCTAATGCACAAACAAACATGTTGCTCC